TCAAAGAAGAGTATAACAGGGAAGGTAGCTTGATCACAAGACCAGTAACTCTCTGGCTGTAGTTGAAGAACACACTAAGAAAATCTTTTTGAAATTTAAAAGCGAGGTCAAGACAGGAAATTTCATAGGCAACCCACTACTTGCCTCCCATACGTAATGCTTTGTTTTACCTAAGGTGACAAAAATGTGATAGAACACATTAACTACAGCAATTTGGACAGCAATTACGACCTGAGACTTCTTAGCTACCCAGTATCGAAAATTTGTGACAAAAAGATTATTCTTGGCATCAAAAATTCATTCTTGCACTAAATTCCAAGTAATTCAAAAATGTTTCTGAAAACCTTCACTGTGTCCGGCGACCCTTTGATTTAAACAATGCCTCTGTAGTTTTCAAAAAAGAAAAATGACAAGCTTCTATATCCAGTTTATAAAAGAACGGCTATGTTCTTATCAACATCCCTTTAATTGTTGGCTATAATGGTTTCGATTTTGAAAATCTCATTGTGAAGAAGTCATCACGTGGCGGCGGCTTTTTGGTGTGTGATACGTCGTGACGGACTAATTTGTAGAAGAATTTGATTTCTCACATCTTGAAGTATGAGGAATAAACTGGGCGATTGAATTCCTCCCAAAATTTCCCGTTTCAACGGCACATTAGTGGACTTCCAATGGTACTGTGGTATCGAATTTGTAGTTGCGAGAAATCCGTTGGACTCCGTTTCTGGTAAGAAAAAAAGTATGTTGCTGAACATTAAAGGTTCAGGGTGGGCTAGAGTCTTTTTTTTTTTCACTAAAAGGTAAATTTAATGGTGGAATGATAAGGCGTGTGGTGCTGAAGTAAACGATCAAATTTTTCCAATTAGAACTTCCCGTTTCATTTGCAGATCTAATTCTGCATATGTTGTGACGGTACTGCGTCGCGGTAAAATCGTCGCGACGGAAAAATCCGTCGGGTTCCGTTTTTTGCTAAAACTAAGGGTTGTACTGGACGTAAAAGAATATGTTAAAGAACTTGATGGATTTTTTTTGCGCTAAAATTTAAATTTGATGATCTAATCGCCATCATCGTAGGCTCCTTCTTCAGCAAGACACATACACCAGCCGAGCGGTGTATGTTGGTGAAAGAGGCGCTCGGTGTGTGCGTCTGTTGATGTATGACAGACAGCCTGTAAGAAACGATAGAAATCACAGAGCGGCACATTTGATCAAGATGGATGAACAGTGACAGCGCGCCAGAAGACACAAAGAGACAGCAGAGGGTGCCAGACTGGAGACGACACTCTCTGACTAAATCATCATCATCATCTTCAGCCCCCCTCGTCATTACCCATTACAAACATTACCACTTACACATGAACATGATGGGAGTGTTTGAATTCTGCATTTGCAGAAATTGATTTGTGGACTAGGAGGGAGTGGTGGAACTGTGATGACATCGTGGTGACACCGTAAGATTCACAGGAAGATAGATAGTATTGCAAAATGCTTGCACTAGCTGGAGGGAGGAAAGAAATTATGTTGGTGTACAAATCGCTTCCACTAAAAAAGCTTCAATCAATAGCGATCAAAACTAAGGCTAGGCCATTTGTAAAAATTTTCTTGTATCTAAGAGACTGCGATTGAGGGGTGGTTCGATATTTTCTGTGTTTGTCACTTTCACCTATAGCATAAGCTTGCGTAAATTCCAGCTTTTGATGAACAAAAATTTTTCGGAACTGCCGTTACTTTAGGATTACTCTTGTAAGGTTGTACCACTCCCCCCCCCCCTAATGTTGAATTTTGTTGCGTTGTGCACTTAGAAGCTCTAGCTACCTCGGAAACTATTATTGCGTTCTATTGCCTAAATGTCTGAAGCTTCTTCGCACCATCGGCATGATTCTAATGCAGAGGATTTGGTAGGGTTACTGTAGGCTTCCCATACTGCAGATACTTTTTATTTCTGTTTTCAAGCTGAACTTATCCTGTGAAACAAACTCACGCTTAATGTTTTTCCTAAAATTTTCGCTCAAATTTATACGGATTTACTGTTTTGGGATTGCTGTAAGGGTGTGGCGAGTTGTGTATGGTCGAAAATTGAAGTCTCGCAATGTTATGCACCTGTTAGGTGATCTTAGGGTACAAAAGTGCACGCTAACATGTGAACCTGCGGATTTTTCGAGCCCATTGTGGGATGACTATTTTAGGATTACTGTGGGATTACTGTATTGAGGTGTAATTAAGTCTGAGTGGGCATCCCACAAATACGATTTGGTAAGCTGATCACTGTAAAAAATTTTGCGCCCTAATGATTGATCCTTCGAATCTACTCCATCTCAGATAAAGGGTTACTATGGTAGGGTTACTGTAGGTGTTACTGTAGTGAGTCTAAGAATGAACGCAAATTAAATATCCTGCATATCGCTTGCACTCGTAAGCTACTATTACTAATTAAAGAAGTTTTTTGCTCTTCACTTTTGGTTTCTGCAAGTTTTTAGGTCTTTCGAGATGGGGTTACTGTAGAATTACTGTGGCGAGTTGTACCCAGCCTCAAAATGAACTTCTTACTTGTCAAGCAGCTGTACTAGTCTTACACGGAAAATTTGCATAGTTCTTAGTTTGCGCACCAAAGGGATTACCGTAGTGGGATTACTGTAAACCACGGTAATGAAGTTGTAAGCTTATACTCAACGATTTGATCTCCTGTTTGCGTGGGTAACTACTAACTACTGGTAATAGCAGGTAAATTTTGAAGAGCTTACAGCTTTTCTGCAAGATTTGGACAGAATTTTTGAGCGGAACCTTTTTATAAATCAAAGCTTGAGTTTTAGGAAAAGACAAGTACTTGAAATGGTATTGATTAGAATATCGTTGTTATGTTTAAATATGTATAATTTGATTACTAATATCAGATGTATATAGGTGGAACTCGCCCTTGCGCCGTGCACCGCGATGTCACCAACGGAGAGACGCTCTTAAACATCAAAATTTTTGCAGTGAATTTTACGACACCCATCAAACCATTCGCTAAAACATAAACTTTGGCAGTTGCTGATGTTTTTCTCGGAGCAGTTACAGCACGTGGCGTATAAGGTAATAAAGATAAAGATAGACGATTAATGTGCCTCTCTTTGCGCTCGCTGCTGTCTTCGCCGGCCGAGCAGTGCTTAGGCATCGCTCGAACACAAATACGCTGATGTACTACATAACGACGAGATTTCAGTTTGTGCGGAGTTTTTTCGGAAAGAAATTTATTGCAAATAGAAGCAGTTTATGGCATTACAACTGAGTAGACTTACATCGCTGCGTATATGTTTGTTTGGAACATATTCGTTAGAGAATCTTTCTCGTATTTTTCTTGGAAAATCAGAAAAAAAATATGTTCTCATTTTCAATATTCCTCGAATAAAACAGTGAGTTCCTGAATTTACAGAGAGAGGAGGCATGCTGTCATAAAGGGAAGCTTCGCCAATCATTTAGAAGACGTCACTTGGGTATGGGGTTATCGTAAGATTACTGTAGGATTACTGTGAGACTGTACGTATTTACTACTTTATTTTGCTCATGACAAGGAAATCAGCCTGTGGTAACGAAATGTAAGTTTCGTCCTCGACATGTAACACGTTGAAACGTGGCTAATTTAAGGTTACTGTAGGAATACAGTAGCTAGATCGTGCCGCTGTATTTTTTTCTCATGACAATTAAATTCAACTTGTGGGCACGGCGAGGTGTTGGCTGAGATTTTGTTTGCTTTAGGCTTACTGTAAAATCACTGTACTGAAGCTGTATGCAACTTTTAATTCGGTTCAGTCTACGTAACAAAGAGAAATAAATTTGAGGACATCAAAATTTTGTTGCACGCTTAATTTGCATGACTGTTAGCAGGAAATTTCGGCCGCTGTGAAGCTACTGTAAGATTACATCAAAACGTTTGTAAGTAATTTTCCACTGTCTGATGTTTTAGTGTAACAAGCTGCTTCCAGTTTCTACATAAAACAGGATAAGTTTTTTCCTTATTCGCAGGCTGTCAGCAGGAAACCATGGTTGCTATAGGGTTACTGTAGGTTGTATCACCTCTTTTTACCGCCTACTTTTCTACTAACAATGGAGGTTCTCTGTGGATGTAAGGGTTAAGCTTTGTTCTTCACTTGCAGAGGTACTGGCCGAAAATTGATTACTGTAAGAATACTGTAATGAGACTCTGCTACTATAAACGGCAAGAGTTCCCTCTGCTTACCAGAGAATAATCTTCCCTTTTCAGCTGATGTGAGTTGGAAGGAGGATGGCTAAATTTCTTGGTTTTGAGCCCCTTATGAAGATCTTGCCCAGCCATATCACCAATTACTTCGAGCATCGAATGATTTTTCAAATATTCATTCAAGCATTTATTTGATTGACTTTAGCAGTGCCAAGTAGATTTTTCACCTTTAGCAGCTAGCTGCCTTAAATGGTAGATTTTAATTCTTGCCGTATTTGACTTTACAGGCTCGCTTATCCTAGATTTGCTACTTTGTAAAAACTTAACCTCCTCACATTTCTAGCTCAACTTTTTACGCAAAACTAATGATAGCAGAATGCTATAGATACCTCCTTCAGGGTTGAATGATTTATTAATGCCTTCGTTTGATGTAGCAAAAGAGAATTCCATGCGTATTGTACGCTGCTCTGCTGTGGCGCTGCTGCGCTCGTCTTTCAACTTCCACAAACAATGCACTCAATCACTCTGCCAAGTACCGTCTTGCTACTAACACGTCCCCACCCATGCATCATTCGGGCGATCTCCGCGCTCCAAGCACTTACTCGGGCGGCTGCGAGGCTGGCGCTCTCCACCCCGCCAGCGCTCTAGCGGTGATTGCCGATTGACAGATCATAAATTTCTTGATATATGTTTCCGACGCGGTCCATCATTCTTACGCGGATTGGGCGCAAGCGCGGCGACCGCCCACCAGCCGTGCGCTGATTGGCCGACGCGGCGCGGCCACGCCTCGTCGGCAGCCTTTGATGTGCGGAGCGGCCGGCCCGCCCCGTCAGCATGTCACTCGCACACATTCTTCTCCACTGACATGGTATCCACTCACTCTCAATACATCACCGACTTCACACCTTCGTCAAGTGTAAGTTGTTTCTATTCTTGATGCATGTTTATTTGATATCTTGTATGTTTACGTAATTTTGCACAACTGCTAGTCCTTCAACGTCTACAAAAATTGAATTTTTCTGAAATTTTTTTCTCAACGTACACAGCCATGAAAATTTTTTTGAAAATTCTTCTATCATTGTTTGCATCACCATTGATATTTTGAGGACAAAATTAACTCTTGGATTTTTCTTGAAAAAATTTCCCGTTTCTTCCACTCTATAACTGTCAAGCGAAAGATGACGTCCTGGTAGTGAGCTTTTCTTATTGCAGAGTTGCATGTGCTAATATTGTTTAAATCTAGAGAATTCTGGCAATTACTTTTTCCCTCAAAGTCTTTTCATCGAAATAAAGTTGTTGTAAGGCTGTATGGCCAATTTTTTGAATTTAAGAAGGATAGTTAGATGCATTTGGAGTATAATATATTCAAAATTAGTAAAATTATTAACAAGATAAAATGAAACACAATAAAACAAAGTTTTTCTTTCTTTTCTCCCAATTTTAATGCTCCTTTTTTCAGATGGAAGCCGGCAAAAGTCCACTAGCCATGCTAGCGAAGACGTGTGAAACGATCGGCCTACCCGACACACCATCCAAAAAATCTCCCTCAGACCGAAAAGAAGAGGTCAAAAAATCCGAAAGTCCAGCCGAACGACGAAAAGAGCGCTCACCCCGAGCAACTCCCACGTCAACGGCTCGGGTCGAACCCACGGCCACCACGACAACGTTCCCCGGACTTCCAAAACCAACGTTCCCGCTCGGTTTCTCCCCGACAATGCCGTTCTCGTTCCCGTATGCGATGATGCCCTATGCAATGCCATTTCCATCGTTTGCCATGCCATTCTCAATGGCTCCACGACCGCCGTGTCCATCATTGATGATGCAGAGACCTTGTGTTACGCCTGGTTGCACATCGTGTTCTCAGGATATGTTGGCTTCATTCGCTACTCATCCACTGTTTTCGGCTTATTCGTCAATGATGCCATCTGCTTCTAGGTAAGAAAATTTTACTTTATTTTATTTTTTATTGTATTTCATTCAAAAAAAATTCCTGGATGTTTTGCTGATTTTCTGCAGAAATACCAACAATTTTCGCATTTTGATGAGTTACTTCTCGCTAATTTATGCCTACAGTACGCTGGAACTTAATTTGCTACTTTATCCACCACTCAGTCTTTATTCAGGACGATGCTCTAAATAAAATTGCAACAGAAAAAATTTATTAGTAGTAAAATTGACTCAAAAAGTTATTTCAAAAAATGTTTAGAACAGTATTCAGTTTGATTTCTAGGATTCTCTAAAGATTCTCATTGAAGAATTAGTCAAAAAAGACCCGAAGAAATCATTTCAAAAAAATTCCTGTTTCAAAAAGTAGTCAAAACCCCAAGAAACCATTCCGAAGAATTCTTATTAGTCAAAGACCTCAAAAAACCATTTCGAGAAATTCCTGTTTCAAAGAATAGTCATAAAACCCAATGAAGTCGTTTCGAAAAATTTCCGTTTCATTTGATGCTTAAATTAACTCATTCACTGCCAATATGTTCACTGTTTCATAGTTCTCAAATTAACTCTAAAACTACTATCCGAAAATTACTTTCATAGAGTAATTAAAAGATTTCAAAGTTGTTTTCAAGAATTCCCGTTTCAAATATCCTTTTTTAGTTCGTCCATGCTACCAGCTTCCTATCAAGCCCTGTTGGCATCATCGGTCGGAGCCTCTACCGTAACCTTACCGTCCACCTCCGGCTCTTCTACCCTGACCTCCTCCAAGCCATCTACCCAACCCAAGCACACATGCTCATGGGTAGAATCCACCGGTATCTGTGGCAAACAATTCTCCACCGCCGACGATCTCGCCACCCACGTCAAGCAGGTTCATACTCCATCTCCACCGTCAAGCGCCAGCTCTACCAGCGCCGCCGCTGACTCGTCTAAAACTCCTCTTTCTCGTCCGAGTTTACCTCGATTCCATCCGTATTCAAAACCAGCAACGCTTCCAATGCCTCCAATGATGCCTTTCCCATCAGCATTGCAAGCTATGTACGCTCAACGTCTCATGTCCACCATGCCTCATCCATAATAATTTCGAGACGCGTGTGTTTGCATGTTTTTTGTGCACATTGTTTGTTTTTTCTTTTTACTATTCATTATACGGGTAATTTCCTCCATTAAACAGGTGCTCAGTGCTCTCTCTCATCGTTTTCTTCTTTTTTTACGCTCTCATTCTGTATTTTATTGAGCAATTCTAAGTGATTTTACGAGTTGAGTAATTGTTGATAATGACAGATGATATAAAAATTTAGTGTTTGTGCAGTGTGTGTGAACGCAAATTTGCGGACAAAGCAACTGATAAGGAATCAGAGGGTAATCGGCCCTATCGTTTATGGATCATCAATTGGTATCAGTTGTCATTAGAGCCAGTCGAGGGTGTCAAAGACAGACAAATTGTTCTTTTTTGTATATTTTTGAGGCTTGGCATTCATATAATGCGCATTCTTACAATTCTAAACGGCTATTTTAGAATTATTTCCCATAAAAAACATTTTATTGCGGGTGAGGTACCTGAATCAATAGATAAGGCATGTTTGCTCCTGGTCCTATAAGTGCAAAAGAATTTTTTTGAGGTTGTCCTCTTGCCCTAAAATACCTCGAGTATCTGGGAATTATTCTAAGAATTCTCCTTTCCCTTCAGGAAATACAATGTGACTCGAGGAGACACTGATGCCCTAAATCTCTCACACATGTCAAGCGACCGAGCCATAAATTACTATCATACGGGCTATTATTGTTTGCGTATGTGACAAGCTGTCTTTGTCTTTGAAAATAAGAAAATACTATTTTTGCAAAATTATTATTTTTTCTGTGAAAGCAAGTAATAGATTTATATAAGAATAACTTGAAGTCAGAGCCTCAAAACTCAAACCTAATCTTTTGTCTATAAGTGAAATTGTGGAATTTGGAAACCAGCTCTTGCTTGAAACTGGAAAAAAATCTTCGTCTTACTAAAAAAGGTTTTTATGTTCTCCGCAATGTTGTGGGAAACTTTCAAACAACTTTTTTCGCGTTTTTCAAAACTCTAGAAGTCTTTTGATAAAGTAAATCAGACTGCAAGAGAGGGGGGAGGGGTGGAGGAGGAGGGAAGGGGTAAGGGCTGTTCCTTCAAGAAAAAATTTTTTATTTTCTAATTCAGCTCTCAAATAAATATTGGATGAGTTCTTAGGAATAATTTGTGAATGCACCATGCAAATTTTCGTCCAAATAAGTTTAGGATGATTTTTGAGTATTTTTATAACTGTTTCTCCCAGCCTTCATCTCTTTTCCTTTCTGCTCCGAACTCCTAGAAAATTTCCTTCCATATTTCGCTAGCCAAATCATCATTTTGCAACAAAGACAATCTCTCAGCCGTCGTTCGTCTAACTAGATTTCAACGAAAAACACTGTAATCTATTTCTCGTGTGCTGCTCTCGTTCGAAGAGATTTTTCTCCTACTGCCGCTTTGTGACGAATGTCCGGACGCGTATGATTGACGATCATCCCGCACATTCAAACCACTACACCAAGCAATCCCTCATCCTCACCCAGAGCACAGGCTGAACAGCAGCCCCCGCTAACAGTGACACGGGGCCCCGTGTCTCACATGAATGTCTTAAGCAGATGATGTGAAGAGTACCCAGTGCATGTCAGCCGTGAAGCCGACTCGGACGTCGGCGTTGACGTCGTCCCTTAATGACTGCCTTATCTCATTAATCGCTTGCCAAGCCGCTGCTAATTATGGCGTTGTGTCTGGGTTAAGTGCTGTGAAACCACCGAACAATGCCGACAACGGCTCCACAAGCAATTTCGTACACACAGAGATTGATGGGAAGGTTAGGGTTGCAAAAGGGTATCGGCAAGTTGACAGGAGCCTTTTGCAGTTCAAATTCTTGCGAACAAAGAGTCTAGTAGCGTTAGAAGCCCATGTTACTGAAGCACGTATTATACTGGTGGTGATGATGCTGATGGAGGGCGATGGGATGGTGATGATGGTGAGGTGATGGTGTTGATGGTGACGATGGTGATGATGGTGATGATGGTGATGAGGATGATGGTGTTGAAGATGGTGGTGACGGTGTCGATGGTGGTGATGGTGATGTTGGTGTTGATGGTGTTGATGGTGTTGATGGTGAGGATGGTGGTAATAGTGGATATGGTGAGGTGGTAGAGGGTAGTGGTATTGGTGATGGTGAGGATATGGTGATGGTGGTGTATGATTTCACAGGATGATGCCATCCAAGACCTGATCAGCTTTACAAAACCAGACGAATCAATTTATCATGAACTTTTCCTCGTTTTTGTTTTTATATTAAATTTTCGCATAGTAAAGTAATTCATTAGATTTATTTGTGCAAAACTAAGCCAGCCTTCTAGCCTTGAAATCTCATTCTCCTTCATTTTTGAAATTCTTAGGACCTTTGCTCTAGTATTCCTTCAGAAGTTCATCGATTTTTGAACATAATCAACAGATTTGAATTTATGCGTTGCTGAATCGAAATACTTGGTATTTCAAGAATTTTTGCTAAATTGAAATACTTGCTACTCTCAGAGTTTATGGCCATCTTCTTGGTTATGAATCTGTATTTCGACTAAAGATCAATTTATATGTCTTCTGATTGCTTATTCATCCTTCTTCCTTATTCCCCTCTTTTTTCATTTCATCCCACATTTGAGGCATAACAGCTATACTGATCATTAAGCAGTTACTACAGTTTTGTGTGCATCTTGCATATAGTCTGCAATTGATTTTTCATTTTTGTTTTCTTGCGGTGTTTTACTATCTAAACAAAAATAAATGGTGAGCTATAGTTGGGTGACGTCGTCATTCCCCCCCCCCTTTTCTCCCCCTTTTTCTCACTCTTACAGAAACAATTTTCTAGAAAGCAATTATGTTAGCAACTTTTCACATGCCCATGTCATCTGAAGGCTTAGAGTTGGTCGATGCGTTCCCGTGCCCTTCAGAGCGTGAGCGTATGTGACGGCGTTCGTCCGCGCGCGTCCGTCTTGCGTCTGGTGTGTTGTCACTTTGCCAACAATTACTGTAAAGACAGTCGGCCGAATGATTGACGGCCGAATGGCGGCAGTTCAAACGCATCTTTTATCTGACACATGTAATCCATCACCACCTGTCAATCACCACCGACACTCTCCACCACAGAGTGCTATCTCGGCCGCGAACAAGCTGCTGTCTCTCGTGTTCGCTAGCGATCTCTTTCGTCCTAGGACTCCCATGTCTTGAGCAATGATTTGTAGTAGGTAATTAGTAGCTAAAAGCTCGGCCTACGATCAATCAAACGTCGTTTAGTGTGGAAGAAGATGGGCGCCGCTATGTGAATGAAAAGCGCTGACTTATAAGTTTTCGGGAAATTCTTGGCGATTTTTTTGCTGGAAGGGCTCAATTTTGGAAGGGAACGGTATAACCATGCTCAACTTGGGGATTTCACATAATAATATGATGACTCTATGGTCCATATATGGGAACAGCATATAACAGGAAATAATTGAGGTTTTGGCAGAGATAAAAAATTTAGCTATCGGATGGGTTGATTTTCAAAAAGGTAAATATAAAAATTTCTAAGCTGACATATTTACCCTTCCATGGTCCTATTGTATAGTTAAGTTTTATTGAAGACCTACTAGCTTTGGATAAATTCAGTTCTAGCTAAAAAAAATCTCTTAAACATTATTTATAACGCAAGAAAGTTCATTTTTGGGTAGAATCCGAAAAATGTAATACAAAAATAGATAACTGAGCTTATCGACATAGGCGTTTATTGTGGTCTACACGTCCTTATGAATGATACAAAGAAATAAAACGATTTTCCGTTTTTCCCCTCCTCTAACGGATTTTTGTTTCTAGATCCTCTTCGGACCCCTCAGTAAGGACCCAAAATTCACATAAAATTATTTTTGACTTTTATAAAATTCTATTTATTGAAGGCGATCTCAGAAAGCGATCATATAGTAATCTTGGCCGTCAAGCTATGGTAAATATGGTACAATTTTCTGAGACTTCGAGGAGAAAGACATTTTTAATTCTTCTAAATTTTTTACTTTTCCCTTCCCCTCCTACTCGCTACATAGCCTCCACTTAGCGAATCTTTTGTTAGCATTTATACGGTCGTTACACCAGCCCCCACCCCCCCCCCCCCCCCGCCAATAAATCTCCCTTAATCCCTTAACCACCGTGGCCATGTAGCGGCTTCCATACACTGCTTTGCGCATGAGTGTGTGTATTCGTCCAACGCGTTGCATAATGAGCATCGTTAAATCGGCTGTTATCGGGGTCCCTTTGTGTTGCGTACGGGGGGTGTGTGTGCAGACGGGGTTACGCAACCCCCGTCCGTGCACCTCTTCGAACCACTACTTAGCCGCTTTGAAGTTGACGACGTCTGTTGAGGTGTCGTATACGCGCTATTGCACAACTTAATCGCCTCTCATGTATCCATGGGTATAACGAAAACATTTTGGTTGCGTCGAGGGGTCACAGAAGCGTTGAGATATGGGAGGGGGGGGGGGAGGAGAAGAAAGGGAAGGGCCACAATAATATGGGTTCCAATTTTTCATTTATGAAGCTATGCATATCCACCTCTCCCCCCCTCCTCCCACCGCCTCCTCCTTTATTTTTGCACTTTAGTGCAATAAAGTCGGGTTTAGAACTAAAAATCAAGATTAGTCTAGGATGATCTTCTATTTTTGACATTCTTATCAGTTCAAAAGTGCACTTTGAGACTTTTCTGCATTGCTTGGATGACTCGTAAAGCTTAAGATGTCAAACAGTAAACTGACTTGATTCATTCTTTCTTCACCACCAAAAAAATGGAAATGAAAATTTATGGCTTTTGTTTTATCGCATATACATTTTCTCTTGTATAAAACTCAACTATTCTAAGAACATGGATAGAAACCTTTTACCTTTTTTTCTAATTTTTTTGAAATGCATGGTGAAATATGTGATGAAGCCATAGAATTGTGAGTAATGAGAAAAAAAACGAAAAAATTAGAAAAAAAGGAAGGAATTTACTGCTAGTTAGATATAGAGTTGTTTTTACACGAACTAGTAAACTGAATCCACGCTGGTTAAGTATCAGACTTCGCAATCAGCTTCTAGAATACTTTTTTAGGACGGGGGGGGGGGGAGGGGAGGGGAGTTATACAACCCTCAGAAAGTTTCACTACTGTTTCGTTGCGTGCTTAGCGGAGTAGCAATTTTTGGAATGATTGTGGAGACTACCGTAACCTTACAGTACCCTAGAAGCTTGTCTACTGCACTGA